AAACAGAGTGCTAAGTATACGGAACAAAATCGTGTATTTCGTCCTAATTGCAATACGCGTAGTTGTGAAATTGCTCCCAACAATGAGCTTTAATGAAATGCAGTTTACTTTCAGAAGAAGTCTCAATAATAGAAGAAAAACTCCAGAATAAGAAACGTGTGGTGAAGCGAAACTATCATTGAACTATCATGAAACTATCATGGGACTTCATTGGTAGACTCACCCAACTTGACCTAGATAGCTCTCGTCTTTTATATCCTTCACGGCGGTCGTTTCGCTCAGTCGTGTCTTTTCAATGTGCCTTCTGTTGACTTCACTGCGACGAGTCACAGACTGCAAACCAAGTCCTTAGCACCGATCAAAAACTCTTTTATCTAATGAAGGCAGAATAAGAAATTTCGCAAATACCTTCTCTGTGAGTTTCTTGAACGCCGTCCATGCATCTTCTTCCGGTTCCGGTTCCGGTTCAACCTTTCTCGGTGTCGGAGGTTTGGGCGAAGGTGGACCAGGTCGCGGAGGAGGAGCAGACGGTGAAGAAGCAGGAGGAGGTCGTGGTGGAGGGAGATGTGCGGTAGCGACTGAATTTTCCCATTCAGCTAACGAAGTTCGCAGCAAAAAAGTTCGAACACAAACCTTGCTCATCGCCCGCTCCAGTTCGAGGATGCTTAGGTGGTGCAGGCCTTGACGGAGGAGGAGGTCTGGACGGTGAGTGTTGCTCTGATATCTGACCGGTTGAGCCGCCGGCTTGGGGCTCATGAGCAACAGCATCCCATGCGAATGGATCTGATGTAGGAGCGCTGAAAAATCGGCTTTCGTTCGAGAAAGTCTCCGTCACAAGTCAGTAGCAGACAAAAAAGACGCTGATGAAGCGCCAAAGGCGGATTTTATAATGAAAATGCAGCCTACTTGGAAATTAAGTTAGAGATGGTCAGTGATGCACGAAAGAAGAAAAAACCGAGAAAATGGCCTAAAACCCGAGAAATGGAACCCTTTTCTTGCCCGACGCTCTCTCTGCTTGACGTCTGAGGACTCCGACAGCGAGCGGGAAGCGTACCGCGCCGATCGCGCCGCGATGAGGAATGATATTGTGCCGGGAGCATATCCTTCGACGCAAATTAAGTGTCAGTTGGCATCCCTAGGAAACCCAGCTGTCTCTCCGCTAGGTGAATTTTCCTTACTCGACCTTCGTCCTTATCGTGGAACTCTAGTTCAAAGGAAGTGATTACGAGTAGTTGTAGCTAGACTGCCGAGGAAGTGAGGTGTGGCGCCTCGGCGATAGGTACGTTTGATTGATTTGACTGGTTGTTGAGTAGTAATGAAAAGCGCTCCGCCCCAAAGCGCTCCGCCCCAAAATCGCTCTAGTCACAAGTTCACTTGGTTAATTGGACGAGCTGTGTTGCCCACAGCGACACAACTGGAGCAACTCGACTGAAGCATGGGTTGGCGTGGTGCCCGTTGTTGTGTCCATAAATTCATCTTGGCAGCTGCCGTCTGTGAACGAAAATCAACGGCGAGACATTTGCGCGTTCTTCCCTGGAATCCGCTTTCTTCGCCATTGCAATGCCATAAACACTCCCCGTCTAATCTAAAACACAGACACCTATTCGCAATCGCTGTTGTTAATGCTTGGTCAAGTGAGTCCAAGCAGATTGTTCCTGCATCGAAATGAGCTACGATGCACCAACGCATTTGGAGGGCTTCACGTCTGCAGCGGCGCCTCGTGGGGCTCAGCCCCTTGTTTTTTTTTTTGAAAAGCAAGCAAATAAATACAAATGTGAAACAATTTCCGGCTATTACTTTCTAACAGATAGAGATTACTATCGAACAAGCTTTGTGAAAAAAAAAAAACAAAATACACAAAATCAACAAAGAAGAAATTTTAAAATATAGCAATTCTAAAGAATATTTCCAAAAGCAATCATTCAATCAGTACCTTTGAAACAGCGGTTGAGTGAACGGAGGTGGCTGTGGCTTTTCGGAGACACTTTGGTAAAGCTGTTGTGTAGGGTACGGATGACTGGCGCCGGCTTCCGGCTGCGAACTTCCAGAGTAATCTGTAAAAAGAGCAGATTTTATCGACCGAGCGATACCTAAACCCCTATATAATGGGTAACGAAAACAAAGCGGCAAAGTTAATTGACTCTAAGCTCACCTTGAGCCGTTGGTTCTGTGGAATACTGGTAATTCGAGTAGTCTGCCGGGTAATCGTGAGAATATGACGAGTAGTCGGTCGGTGCGCCAGCTGTTGCGGCTGAAGTACCGTACTCAGTCCCGCCTTGATCGTATGCGTATACAGCCGCATCCGGCGCTGCGCTACTGCTACCGTAACTAGCGCTACTGTAGTCGTAGGTGGTAGCACCGGCTCCTGTCGCGGAAACGTCACTGTAGCCAGGCTGGTCATAGCCGTATCCAGCGCTTATATCGGTTGTTGTGGCGCTGGTGTCGTAATCGTTCGCGGACGGATCCCCAATAGGAGGTTCACTGTAATCCACGGGGTTCTGGTTGTATCCGTAGTATGAGGTGTCTACGTAGCCATTTCCTTGAGCGTCTGTGTACTGCTGATCATATCCCGCGGCCGTGGTGTCGTACCCGGCTTGTGAACCTGGCTGGTCATACGCATAGGTTGTTTGATCGTAGCCAGGGTAGCCACTGGAGCCTTGGTCGTAGGGGCTTGCGTCGGCTCCCACAGGGTAAGTGGAGCTTGTGTAGCTGCCGGCCTGATCGTAGGCATACGTTTGACCATAGGCTTGATCATAACCACCTTCTGGGTAAGTGTAGCCATCACCTTGGGTAGTTGCACTAAAAAACAAATGAAAGAAAGATTTTTGGAATTTTTAGAAAACGAAAAACCTGCCTCACCTATAGCCGTCATACTGATAGGCATACTCGGATGTTTGGTGTTGAGTGGGGTCGTAATTAGGGTCCACGTCCCATTGCTGCGTCTCATAATTCCAAATGTAACCTGAAACACACGCCGCTATGTTGACGCATTCCTTATGCATACATTCAGGGCATGCCATTATGTTTCAATATCGATTTTGCCCATCTTCTTCGCTCTGTAGCACGACAGATGGAAGCAGCTATGTAAAAATGAATAATTCATAATCTGGGTCACGTTTGGCAGCAAGCCAAATTAATTCTGAGTGATCTTCGCTCAGATGAACCTCAGTTGTGAATCGCGAATCACTTCGTCGTTCTCTCCCCCCCCCCCTCCCCAACATTTTCAAGCTTAGTGTTTCATCACCAGAACTATTACATTTCCTTTGGGAATATGACTGGATCTTTAGCCCCGTCAAGACCCACTGCAAATTTTCCTGCCATCCCTCTTCTCCCCCCCTCTCTTATCTCAAGCAGATCTAGGTTCAGTACCTTTAGGGTTCATAGCGGTCAGATTATGTTCCTATAATTGCTGCACCTGGCACTACTTGACACACTTTTAGCTAAAAATTTTGTCAGTGAAGGTATGGAGGGGCAGGGGGATCATCCATGGATCGTCGCGAGATAACTTTTTACAATGCGAAATTTCAAAAAAAGCCAAAAAAAGCCTTAAGCAATACCTGGATAAGCATTTGGATCATAGGCGGCCTCTTGGTTCTCCACTTCGGATGCTTCAGTGGGTTGTGCTGCCTCAGGAGCTGCTTCGGAAGCTGCCGTGGTGTCAGCTAAAATTAGAAGCTTTCAAAGTGGTGCTTACAAAAATTGGTATCAACTCGCTAACAAATCGTTACTCTACCCGAAAAAGAGAAAAAACGCAAACACGAAAAATTGCACAGCGTTTCACAAGAAGAGTTTCAATGAATAAAAAAAAGTTGTAAAATAGTGAAGGATTTCAGGAATATTTCAATCGGAGTTGTGCGGTAACTAGCAACTTCAATTGCCTTCGTGTAGTATTTTCTCCGTGGGTTCATATACAATAGGTACGTTCTACCCAAAAAGAATTTTGGCCACGCCCTCGTTCCTGTGACAGAGTAAAGAGCCTAGAGGTGGGGTGGACAGAAAATGCAACTCAACACTCGTGAACCTATTTCCCTCAAAACCTCAACCACAATCAACCAATTCACCTATTTACCTATTTTTCTGAGTCAAAAAGACAAAATGGTTGCCAACAGCATGGGATTAATTTTGCCCTAAAGTTTGAAGCGACAAATTAAATTTAAACCAATGTTTTAATTACATGATTATGAGTTTTCTTAGATCTGAAGCCCCACCAGTTGTGGGATCACTTGGAAGAGCAGGTGTGACATCTTCGTGGGCGACAGCAGTCTCCAGCTCCGATTCGGGTTCACCTGCTGAGTGTTGCCCATTGGAAGCCTGATGCTCATCCACATTGGCCTCTTCTTCTTGGACCACGGGCTTGGTCTCTTCTTCTTTGGCCGCAAACTTCGCAGCTTGAGCTCGCCTGCGTTCTTCAGACATATCTTCAGAAAACATCGGCTCGTCCTCTTCGGAAGGCTATAACACGAGACATAACTAGCGAACGGCAAAAAATAATTATGAGGAAAAAAGCCGATCCAATCATCTGCCGGAAAGGAGGCGCAAAACATCCACAAGAATAGAAGAAGCCGTGGAGGCCTAGTGGTTATTGAGCAACTACGCCTACAATTTTCGCTGATTAACTCAGTGAAATGTAAGTAATGCATACAGAGCATGACTAGAAAAAATATGTATAGTAATTCAGCATACTTTTGGGGTGAATGTGAGGAGCGCCGCCTGAGGGCATCCCGAATAATGGCAGTGAGGCTAATGTGCCCATCGTCCGTGGGGAGCCGTAAAAGGCGCGAGGAACATGGAAATCGCGCTAGGGACTTCATTGCCTCCGCCTATTTGTCCTCACCGAATCCAGGATTCTTCTAGAAAACACCTACTACTAACGACTATTAGCCTAAGCCCAGAGGATAACAACAACCATCAGCTGAAGAGGTTCAGAAGAGTTGCGCGCGGGGGAGAGGCATAGTTTAGACATCCACCCTGACTAGCAGAAATCAATAGTAACACGTGAAGGAAATAATTTGCATCGTGCCAGCATAGCCGATTTATCATTGCTGCTAGGCTAGCGAACAACTTTTTGTACCATCGAAATGCTATGCAGCTTAGCGTAAGACACACAAATTTTAAATGGAAATCTAGCAAGTCAGGCAGTGTATTTGCCAGGTGCTGCAAAGTCTACACGCCTGTGTTCGAATTTTTCTCACTTTCGTCACATTGCTTGGATTTCTGAAATCTCGAAAAAGGATAAATACGGTCTGCGAAAGCGAAAAATATCCCATTTGAATCAACTTAACCTTCCCTGCCCGTCACAAGACTCCTCGGCTGCCCTCGCTACGGGTTCCATGGGAACTGTCCCTTCAGATGAGGCTGAAATCGAAGCTTCTGGGGAAAGACAAGAGTATTCTAGGAGGATTACAATGAAATATATGATAGATGGAAAAAGCCGGTAGGCTTGAAAATTGGCGCACCCTTCTGGGATCAATTTCGTCAGAATTCACTCGAAGAAAAGCTTTGAAATTGCGGAAACAACTTCAAAAATTACCTCTTGAACAACTAACTCTTAACTTTTTTGTTAATGAATGTGTTGATGCTATTATATTAATTTAACTTCATTTCAAAAATTACTGAGCTATAAATGCATTGGCGAGATCTTTATTTTTATTTTTATTTTTTACAAGCACTTTCTCAAGAAACCCATGGGATGTGCCAGTGTGGGGTGGCTGGGCCAAAACTGTGGTAATCGAAATATTATATTACTAAACTATAACATCATCCTAATGATCGACTACAAAAAAGTGCTGGCCATTAGGATCACAAAGCAAATCTAGGTTAGGTTTGAAATCTGTAACCTATTTCATTTACCAGCCTTCACAGGAAGAGGGTGGCATGCTGGTGAGACAAGCCAAACGACCACAAGTTTTTTGTGCCCTTTCCAGGGGATTGGGCCTTTTTAGAGTTTTGTGTTTGCTCTTGCTTTGAGGTTTACCATGCAGAAAACCCAACTGAATCCGGTGGGGGATTATGAAACAGTTGTTAGAAGACCATGAACTCGAAAAATTCCCCTCTGGAGGATTTTGTCTGAGGATTGGTGCCCTGGGGTAATGCTCTCAAGTGGCTTCATGTCTTTAACAGACATTGTATCTTTAGAGTGTACAAATAGTCTTTTACATCAATCTTTTCAATTTGGTTGTATGAAAGTCGCGAGGAGGGGAACGAGTTTCTGCATTTGATATTAGTCCTGATGGTAAGTGTAATCTTCAAATCTCCTTCTTTTCCATCTCAGGTGACTCTTATTGAAGCGCTTAGCCACTACCCATAAAAGTCTTGTTATATTGAACTGTAGCTAAATGGCGTGCCAGAGTCCCTTGCCGGTACAATCTGAGGAATGGCATACCGTGATTTGGCTGTTTTTCATGTTTGAAGCTGTATGATGTTGGTTTCGATAGAAAGAAGACATCTTCCACTGTCATACTATTCAAAAAAGGAAAAGTAAATGAAGAAATTCGAGAAGAAAGTTTAGCCCTGCGCACTCGCGGTAACCATAATTTTGGCCCGCCATGTACTCTGAAGCTAAATACTCTCTAAATTGATTTTTCTAGAATATAGGAAAGTGAGTAGTGGTTATTATTTTTTTCTCTCTCCTAGAAGGATTGTATGGGATATGACAATGCAAAGGAACTGGCATCCTTAGGTTCTTCGTTTAAACGGAAGCTGCCTAGAAAAGGAGAAATAATTTTTTCGTCCTATTAGGAGGACTCGATAGGAAGTGGTAACGGACAAGCTGAAACTTCAAACTTCGTTCGACATGGAGGCATTTAGAAAAGGAACTTTTCCAAGTACCCATCTCTGAAAGTCTTTTATTGGTCGTGTGGATTTTATTTGATGAAATGGTTGTGTGAATTTATTTGGTGATTTCCCTTAGCCGATGTGGGCATTTCCCCAGTTTGCAGAAGCTTGCTGGTCCCCCTAAGGGAGGTAGAGCCGTTATTATAATCACCCCAAAGAGATGGCCATATGGGACAATAAATTATGTGGGATTAAAGGCCACATTGGACCATTGGAGGATTGGCGCACTTCGAGCGCCCAATTTGACTTCATCATGAAAAGAGGACTTTTGCAGCCCTCCAAGTTCAACCCTGCAAGAGATAATATGCTCCAATAAAGAATCAAACGCGCACCCGTTGATTATACAGTACAGTACTGGTAAGCCAGTGAGCAAATTAAAGCTGTAGCAGAAAGTGACGAAAAAATGAAGAAAGCGAAGAAAAAATACGGGCCCCACATCCAGTAAGGGGGGGGGCATTGTGATGCAACGTTAAGTGGGGGTTCTTGCCCTCACCCTCTCACCCCTAGTACGTGTCTTTCCACTTCCGCCTGGCTTAACGGGTTGCCGATTACACCTCAAAAAATGACGGGACTGTGCCACAGGTGGAGTGTAGGCAGTCTAGGGGGTGGGGGTGAGGGCAGCCACATTATGCCCCCCCCCCTACTGGATGAGACCCAAAAATACCTAAATAGTAATACCGAAAGCGATCTACCAGAATCAAAGCCAGACAAATGGGTTATAGACGCACCCATTGCTTCAAAAAAGATTAATCCTCCCAGCATTGAACACCAAAAGAGCCGGCAATGAAGAACGCCATGAAAAATGTGTTCACATTGAAAACGAAGAGAAACGCTGAGGCAAAATTCGCTATCGATTTTACCTACTGTTGAGTGCATAGCGCTCTTCATGAAACCTGAATCTTGGGGAATTTCCAAAATCGCATCAGGACTTATCCCTTACGATATGTATGTTTGACTTCATTTACTTAATGGCCCATTCATCCGTATATACTTGCTTTATATTCTTCATTATTTTATTTATTGGTATTGCCTGTTCATTTATTTATTTTGAAACGACGCATAAGGAATGGTGGGAAATAACGATAAGTGAGCAACAGTACAACAATCTTTCCATATATACAGGGGGGGGGGGCAAAAAAGACATTTTGCCCAGGTCGCACTTCGGCCTTTTTTCTTCGCAGAGTTGACGGAAGTTCCTCAGCAAAATATTCCCTAAATGTCCCTCTATAAGTACACGCAGGCCCTCCTTCACTACCCTCACCGTCTTCAGAATATGACGTCATCTGTCACCGTCGTCGAGCTCAAGGAGGCCTACAGTAACTGCTTCAGCCTGAAGCTCTTACATAATTCTACTTCCATTTGTACATTCGTAGTGGCATTTGAATGCGATGTGGCCTTACGACAATCCCTTTTGGGATGCGGCACGCATTCTACTTCCATTTGTACATTCGTAGTGGCGTTTGAATGCGATGTGGCCTATACAATGACTTGCGGGGCCAGCCGATGTACAAGTCAGTGTTTTTATCCTCCCAGACAAGTCTGGTACCAATTAACCGACCCCGGAGGGATGGAAGGCTTGGTTGGCCCGGGCGACTCACGACCCAGGATTTGATCCCCGGACCGCTCGCGTGGTAAGCGTGCCACTTGTCCACTACACCACTTCCGCCCTCGAGAACATAAACTATGCAATTGGAAACTTCTATTTCTGGAATTCGCTTGAGGCACGCGAGCATAAGTAGCATCACCAGCCCTAATAAATAGTTTTCGAGTGAAATTATCTTGGATTTTTTCAAGTAACTGGATATCCTTTTTCGGCGCTATTTACCCTTGCCCCACTCCTCGAGAACTGAGCCGGTTTTTATCGAAATTTGTCCATGACTGTGGATTCGGCTAGAAACTTGCCTTCAGGGGTAATTCGACCCGTAGAACACGAATATCACATTCGTTTACCGCTAGAACGCCTGGCGCTCGCGCCAAAAGGCGCCAGAACATCTCGGATCACCAAATTCGCTGGAAACTTGTAGAAGGTACTTTGACCCGTAGAACATGAATATCACATTAGTTCGTTGCGAGTGAGCCTGTAGCCTGCGCTACGGGCGCCCGCGCAAAACTGTTGTGATAGCGCCGGCGCCTGTGGCGCGGCGCCAAGCGTTGTCGCGCTAAACCGGTGTGATATTCGTGTTCTACGGGTCGAAATACCCCGAAGGCAAGTTTCTAGCCAAATCCAGTCATGGACGAATTTCGATCAAAATCCGGCTCAGTTCTTGAGGAGTGGGGCAGTAAAGGGTAAATGTGCCCCTTTTTCTTATGAGGGCAGAAGACCGATGTACCACATTCCGCGATGGGACGGATATACGTTTTGTAAGCTTTTATTAGGACATCTTTATCCCTTATCGCCAAACCCTTGAAGACTTGATATGTACGAAACACAGCCTTTTTGGTGATGGCCGCATAGTGATCAGAGAAACTCAGCTTATTATATTAGCATTATTCATTTTTTCAACTTTATTTTAAAGGCACGAGTCAGGCTCAGTGGACCAAACCAATCCCTTTTGTCGTCTTTGTGCATGGCTACGCACCCACAGAGACGTTACCATGCTCAGAATCCCAAACGGCGCCGTAATAAGGCTCCAGGGCACGTATTAAGCGCTTTCGCCGCCTGGAGGCGCTCCGACCGCCCACCTTGGGATGTGGTGCGTGGCTGGCATAACGTGTGAAATCAGCTAGGTTGATTGCCGTATCAACCGATAGAACGACTGACATCTTCCAGAAAACTTGTTTGTACGTGCCTCTTTCCCAAGCCAGCCTCCTTCACTGCTAGTGGGGAAAGAGGGTTTTGTTAACGGCCTTGTCGACGGTTTTTCTCAGTTTTTTCTCCACTGTCGTTCCACTTCGCATCTCTATACTCAGTTTCAATCGCCATAATACCCCCTTATTGAGCCCGACTTTTGCCTTTAATTCAGGTTGGACATATCAGTGGTTAGTAACCATCACTTCTTATTTGCCATTCCTTCAACTGCTCGGGACAGGACCGGCTATTTATTTTTCGTTTGTATAGTTATTTATTTGTTTACTTGCTTATTTGTTTATGTGTTCAGTGGTGCGCAATTATAAACTAAATTGTAGAATCGAGAACACGAGAAAAAATCTGAATAGAATCAGTTTGTAGAATTTTTTGAGAAGGAAATGTTTCCCAGCAGACAGCCATTGAACGGCATTGAGAAACAGTCACGTAACGTGGGCCAGGGCTCAAATCTCTTAGCAAATTCGGGGCTTTAATCCCGTTGCGAAGCCCAGAGGCGGTCAATTTCTCAGAATTATGTTGGCTGTTGGAGAGCCCTGTCAGTTTCGCTTAAGAGGGGGGGGGAGGGGGGGGGGGGGGGGGGGGGGGGGGGACCTCGTACCTTTTGCCTCTTCAAAATTCTCCCATTCGATACTTGTCCTTCTGTGGACGACTGGATGTGGCGGTGCCTGGAAAAAGCCTTTTTCAACTATTGAATACAAGCTATTACAGACTTACTTTACTTTCTAACTTTCACATATTACATATCGAAAAATAAACGAACCTTGTTCTTATACTGCGGATTTTCCTCGAGAATATCGCCCTCGTAATCGTTCAACGGTGTTGTTCGCCCGGATACGCACCCTCGAGACTGAAAAATGAGGTACACGTCATTTTCAAGCAATATTTACGTGCGCGGTTGCTCATGGATTCATGACTGACTCAAAATGCCCGCTCGGAGGCGGTATTAGAGAATCGCTAACGACCGAGCAATGGGAGAGCCTGAGGCGATGAGAATACGAGATAAGGTAAAATATTGACAGTCCTGCTAAGGGAAGAAATCCTGAAGATGCCAAACGAACCTGCGGTGGAATTTGCGCACGGAATGCTTTCATAGACAATCGAACATACGGATATAGAATTTCGCATATGGGCGTACGCGACGCTTGAAAAACGCCGCTGTCTGTGATGACGGTCAAGAAGGTGCGAAGAAAGATGTACCGTGCTCGTTCTTTGCCGGGATAACTTGATTTTTTCCTCCTCTTGCACCTCGATTGTGTTGGAATGAATTTGTGAGAAAGTCTATCGACCACATGAACAATACGTATCACAAGGATGCTCAGTTATAGGAGAACGCTACCACAGGTGGCATTCGAGGCCACAACTTTTGCTCATCAAGCTACTGTATTGCGCTATCGAAAAAGCTACCGAGGAATCATTTCACCCTAACTCGGTTTCAATTAGAGTATTTACCCTATCTTGTCAGTATTCAGTGGCGGAAGTAGTGCAGTGGCACGGGCGCTGTTTAGCGCTCGTATTGGGGATAATATTCCAGGACATACGCCGTATCCAGGCAGCAGCCTGTGCCATTCCTCCGGAAATAAGCGAACTGGTAGAAATATGTATGGGTGGATGAGATCACTTGCTGCCTTGCACACAACCTGCCACTGCAAGTCACTGTATGGGCCAAGGCGCCTTCAAAATGTTACTACGATTCTGAATGGAAGTGGAATGCATGGTGCATCCCAGCAAAGGGCTGATCAACGTCGAATGCTTGATCGTTTTGCTTTTATGGCCACTTGCCCGTCTAACGTAACGAGCAAATTGGCCAGGAGGTCAATGAAAAACAAAATAAATTTCAGTTTTAGCAGCGATTTCCAGGACACCCTGAAAATGGCGGAAGTGCCTCATCATTTTGGAATGGTTTTAGAAATTACCGCTCAATAAAGTATCTGGCTTCGCTTCCTGATTCGAATGAAAACTTCATTAGTAGAAGATTGACTTGAAGATCAGCTCAGTTTACCATATTAGTTATTAGTTTACCATTAAAAGTCTCAAATTTCAGTACAATCGTGGTGGAAGCTGGGTCCATCGCGTATTATCAAAGGAATGATTAATATCACTGAATCGGTTCTCCCGTTCGTTAGATGCGTGCACATTAGCATTGAGCGCTCGGCGTCGACTAATTTCTTACCGGTATCCGCCACGCATCCGACTTCCATCTCACTGCACAGCACATCTTATCGCATCATTGCCTACGTAGCAATTCAAACTCCTCCAGATTGCCATATGCGAGTGCATGCGAGTTGATTTTAGCAATGAAGTTGCAGGTTTCAGCACGTTGACAAGCGAGAGAATCTACTATGGAACCCCAAAAATGTTCTTCTCAACAATTCATATTGTCAATGACGAGCTTACAGCAAAGATTCACCGGGCGCGATGAAGAAAGCAGATATCAGAACAGAAGAGAGCATGGAGACAGGCAAGACGCAGACGTTCATGAAGCAATATTAGTAAGCATTAACCCAAGAATAATTTTAGCTGCTTTCAAAATAATTTGAGGCCTTCTTGCAAATATTAATGGGATTCCAAAAAAGTGCCCCATATGTGGAACCTGTTTTGAGAACCCCTATAATAGAGGAATAAGGGCAATGTGTGGTGTCACAACAGTAATCCTGACCTTTAACCATTTTGTTCCGCAATACTGATGGTAGAGCCGGTGCGTTTGGAAACAACGCACAAGGCCTTCATTCCTCCAACCAATCGCGAAATGCGCCTTGATGTGGGCGTCTGTGGGGCTGTGTATGGTCCATTCTTCAGTGTGAGTGAATGCGAAACTCTTTTTAGGATAGCTCGATGATGCTTCTTTGTGCTTTTGTTGTGAAGCGAAGTGGAATTACGGCGTTGATTTGCTGACAAGAGGCGTTGGCAAGCAAAACAACTCAACGCGTGAAGCTGCTGATGCGCTGGACGTGGAAATCTCAGCTTCAGATGAAAAACATGCCTTCAAAAGGAGCATTGAAAGCGAATCTCTCCAAAGTGCACGACTGTGTGGGGGTGGTCGGACGAGGACGTTGAGCGGTCGAATTGCTGTACTCTCGTCGCAGAGCCGCATGATCGGGATCCTTCAAAAGGCACAA